GTGGAGATGGAAGTAGGATCTAGTCAAGCAAGAGGTGCCATGAGAAAGAAAAAGGAGAGAAGGATTATGCATAATTGGAAATGGCAAAGTATGACATCGGTTCTTTTTGCCACATGATTGACAGTGGGAAATTCCCATATTGATTCCTTTTACCACATGGTTTAAGGTGGGAAAGTCCCATGTTAGTTCCTTTTGCCAACTACCTTGGCTCCCTCCTCCTTTAAATAGGGGATATCGAGAGGAGGAGCAAACATTGTGTTGAAGAGAGGAAGAGAATAAAAGAGAAGGAGAGAATAAAAAGGATGAGAACGCAAAAGGTGAGAAAAGAGAAATATTGTGAGTTTGTATGAGTTTTGTGAGATTTTATGAGAAAAATCTTGGGAAAACTCTACCAAAATAGTGAGGGAAATAAAGAAGGAGGAAGAAGAAGGAAAAACAAGAGAAAAAAAAAAGAAAAGAATGAGAAAGGCTCGACTAACAAAAGGGTTAACCCATAAGGTAAGTGAGTTTTTACCATTATATTTGGCTCGATTTTGATTCCATTTTTGGGATTAACTTTTGATTATTTTGTTGGTTATTTTCGAGTGAAAACAATGATAAAAAAACATCCTAGAACTTTGTTAGATTTCCTAGAGAAAAAAGTTAAAAATTAAGTTGGAACTTTGTCAGAATTAAGATCACGTGGTCCACAAGGTATGACATTTAGAGTTTTTCCTTAGGCATAAATTTCCCATGTATATATATAGGGGATATCTTTTACTTCAAATTAGTGATGTTTCTAAGGGGATACTCTGTCGAAATTTTGGTGGGAAATTGAAGCAAAATAAAGGGAGACTCTATGATGTGAGCAAGGAAAGAAAAATCCCCCATGAGATTTTCTTTCCTAATCCCACAGGAAATCTTTCTTTTTAAGAGGGAGAATCGACCAAGGAAGAAAATTGATCCTAAATTGGAAGCTATCTTGAGAAATAGGAAAACTCCTTAAATGTCAAATCTTACGGAAAAAGAAAACACTTGAGAAAAGAAGAAAATATATTACCAGAATTTCTTCCCTTAAATCTCCATAATTAATTAAGATCTTCTTTATTTCAAAAAGAAAATTATATCTATCCTATTTTAATCGTAATTCTCTTAATTTTAATAGTTTTTATATTCTATTCTATATTTAATTTTTTATGTAATTTATCTATTAAATTAGGATACTATTTTCCTTATTATTCACATGATCTATACTATAAATAGGTTAGCAATTCCTACTTTTAATAATTCAAGTTTCAATTAATAAAATTATAAAGTTTTAGTTTTTAACTAGTGAGGTTTATTTTAACCTTCTTGTTGAGTGGAAAATTGATGTTCACTTATCAAGGTAACTTGTGGCGTTTTCATCAATCTATATTTTAAATTGATTTTAACTTATCAAGATTTTCGTGTTCTAATCAATTAAATTATCCCTATTATTTTGGTTTTCACTCCCCTATCGGGTGCGGATCAAGTGAGGAGGGTTTATTTAGGGATAAGTTTCTATATGCTAAAGTTATATGTGGGGTTTTGAAT